ATTAGGGTTAAAAACCATGTTATCCTGTCCGTTGGCCCGTCTACGCAGCTAACTTTTAGGAATTGGGGCTGGGGTTCACGTTCGTCACTACATTCGCAGCGGGGTGCCACTATGGATGAAGACTGTTTGAGAGAAAAATGGGTGGAAGTTTTGCTGGAGTTCTCACCAAAAGATAAAATGAGTCGCCCAAATATTCAAATGAGAATGAAAGAGAATGAAAGGTGGCAATAGTCTGGTCCTGTGTCGAATTTGGAGACGGCAGCCACGTTGTTTGTGCAGAGCCCTCTATTTACTATGATGCGATCTACTCTTTCATGTTACCCGTCCACCCCTTTGCCATTTGGAAGACTCCCACATCCAGCGCTGAGAATGGGGCTTCTTGAATTCTGAGTAGACATGAATGATCTTGGCCATCTTCAGAAACTTAGAGGCCCGCTCAACCTGTTCGTTCCAGTGCGTTCCGTAAGCCCAATGTGACGTTCTTTTAGGTTCAATCATAGATCTAAAAATGCCAACGCTGACCATGCTACTCTGCACAACTTCTCCGAGTCCGTATTGAACTCTTGGACTTCGTCTTCGTCAGAGGTTGATGTTTGTGTATGGAAGAAGAAAAGTGTCAAAGCCGATATCGATCACATCTTTTCAGCTGTAAACGTCCGATTCGGTTTCGGTTTGTTAGTTGTTCGAATGAATCGAGGTACATGGACAAGCTCACATTGGTGAGGAGGCCAACGCCGCCGTCTCTTCCGTTGTCGCATGTCCCGAAGAACAGTTCTTCTACGTTGGTAAAGATGACATTAAATGGGCGGCATCTTCTCGCTCCAGCTTGAACGATGACGTCATATCGAATCTTCCTTGCTTATATCTCCATTTAAGCGGCCAATGTGAAATGGCCCTCAGACTTGAGCAGCTCTTTCAAGCCCATCCTACCCAGCAGTGTCGTATCGACGCACTTTCGATGTCAAGGGAACGAAGTCCATTTGTTTTACCGTGTTTGGTAATTCAATCTGCATATACTCTGGCACACTCACACACGTATGCATGGCAGTGTCCTCGTAAACAAAGATTGTATGTGTTAAATCAGCAAAGCAAGAACAGGGACTTCATCCCCTGATTTCTCCTGCGTCTCAGAGAACAACTATGAGGTCGCTGCTGGTCTGCATTCAACCCTTGTTCACCATTTGAAACGCGATAAGTAGCCTCGTAGTTTACAGGTTGGTGATCCTCATTTAACGGGATCCTTGATTTATCAACTAACCAGGAAACGACCATGGTGAATTAATAAAAGCTCAAAAAATGTACATTTACTGGGTGATTCTCATCGCAAGACCTTTGTAAAGCTACGCATTCTTTCTAAAGAATCGTATGTGGTGAGAGATAAGACCAGTTACTGATTTTAGTCCTGTTGTCCTTTTCGTTGATAGCCACGATGCACATAGGATTCATGCGTGTTGATTAACTGATTTCGACAAGAAGTTGTGGAAAGACTTGTCGTTTAAGAACGCCTTGTTAAAAAAACGGCGAATTTTGTTCGTATCCTTGATTTTCGAGGAGTGAAATTTCAGAGATGTCGCATCCTTAAGGCGGGACGATGGGAGCAGCAAGAGGAAGAAGGAGAAACCACAATGAGGAACGGACAATGTTACCTAGCACCAACGTTATCACTCTGCACGAATTTCATTCTTACAAAGGCTCTAAATTGTTTCTGATGACAACTTTACACACCTACACATGTAGAAATACAAGTAAACAAGCATATGCAGTTATTGAATGCACACCCGGAAACACGATTTTGCCCCAAGGAGTCGTCTCGCAGTTTCATATTCTTTCGACCTAATGTCAACCACTAATGCTCCTTGATACAGAGAAATCAAAGGCAAGTATCCATTAATAATCGTATCCTGCACTAAGTCGAACCTTAGTCAGCAGTTCTGGCCACCAATTTTAGTCAACCTTTCTATTCAATTTGCTTGAATTTATAGAGGAAATAACCGCATAGTTTTTAGATAGCTGTGAAGTAGAAGAGAAAAGCAAGGAAATAGTACCACATCGGAGGAAGCAGGATGTCCTACCAATGAAAAATGTGCCAATTTCGGCTAGACGTTAAGTCACGTGCTTGAATTCATTTTTTTGAAACTAATCTTGAAACACTGCCAGGTTTCAACAAAGTCAACGCTGTTTCCCTCCCAGACAAGTCCGGTACCAATTTGCCGACCTCGGAGTAATGGAAGGCTTGGGAACCATGGGCGCGGGCGTCGATTCCAGTTGTGTTGCAGCCTCCGACCCCTGCGCTACATGCTCCCATTCGGCTTTACATAGGCACAATAGTTGGTCACCGATGTAGCTTATCGCGTTGCACGCTTGGAAACATTCTTTATTCCGTATTGCTGTAACTTTTTACTAATGTTTTTGAAAATAGTGGTAAAAATCATTTCTGCTAGCTTCTAAAACTTTCACAATTTATCAGTTTACTCTCTTACTTGGTTCAGGTTGTTCAGTCGTCTATTTCATCTGTCAAATGAACAAGCAATATTGAGATATTCGCTCATACTTCTCAGTGATCCGTCCTTAAAAGATTTGGGGAACTTTTTCACTTAATAATTATCTTGCAGCCATGTGTGGCGCAGTGGTCGGAGGCGCCCTGTCCAATACATGACGCATCCCTAACGGATTGATCAACGCCTAGAACTTTATCCTTTTTTATCTTGCAGTCACAAATGTGGTTCAAGTTCTGCGATTTGGCTTTGAACACATGGAGTGTTCTACCTTTACTGACATATTGACGTAATTATGGAGCGTGATTTTCATTCGAATCACGGGATAGCACTACTACACCGTTCCTAGGTGATTACCACAGGTAACAGCCAGCTGCTCTGAATCTGTCTTTCGCAAACCACTGGGGGGATTTAACGCGTTTGCCATCGTATGCATTCTCTTATCCACTGAAACACGAGAGAAGAATATATGAAGGTTCAATCCAATCGAAGAAGTAAAAAATTGTTTATTTCTAAACGACAGCATGGACACAATATCCCTTCTTATACCACCAATTAATGGATAATGAACAATCGGAAATGAACATCGACTTCATAACACTTCTGTTATGAGGTCGTCGACCGCGATAAGGCACAGTTAACCGTGACATACTTCCATACCCCTAGAAAACACTAGATGATTACATGGAAGAAAGGTCATATACGTAAACTATAGGAAAGAAGGGTTTCTAGGAACTACTGGAAGAAAAAATTTATACAGTTACTAGTCTCCTTTACAGTAGTATGTCCTCCTACATTTCCGTCAGCTTCATAACATTCTGGAGTACTAATTGATCCCAAGCGACACTCAGCTCAAGAACTTGAAAACGAGAACAACACGGAATATGAAGAGGAAATGCAGAGAAGTGCAGAGTGATTGCTGTAAGCTTGGCCAATTCCTTCTATTACACGTTTCTGCTATTTTAATACATTATAAACATTTATTACCAACAACCTTTACAGTTCACCGTCCAGCTGTTTTACACAAAACACAATTTTCTTAATAAGTACCGGTGTACTTATATACGTGTACAACATGTGGCCGTAATCTTCAGTAGATAGGAAGCAATTCCTAAGACCTACTTCCTTGCAATCTCGGCATTGGTCAACAATCAAGTAGAGGACTTTTAAGCAACAAAATGGCGAGTGTCTAATAAGTGTGATATCGACCTCGCATCTGCCCATCGAAATCACGGTGAACTAGGAATTCGACTTCTCACAAAAGAGGATAAAGCTCTCGGCGTTGGCCAATCTCTGAGAGATGTCCCATGCACTCGACTTCATTGAGCATTGTTCGGAGATGATTGAATGCATATCTAGCCTTTACAATGAATCGCGGTGGCCCACCGATCTATCGAGCCAATGTTGTTTTCCTCCCAGCCAAGTCTGGTATCAATTTACAGACCTCGGAGTGATGGAAGGCTTGGTGGGCCATGGGCACGGGCGTGGATTCCAGTTGTGTGTTGCAGAGCGCCTGCGACCCCTGCGCTGCATGCTCCTATTCGGCTTCACATAAGCACTACTAATCGTTTTGCACAAATACTAGCGAGAAAGGCATATCTTTGCTTAGAACCAGAACCATCTCCCATCTATTATTCCTTGTAGTAAAGACGCGATAATGAATTAGATTCAGTTCAATTTAGACACTAAGCTTTATCTTAGTGTCTATTTTCGAAGCTCTGCGTAGCTGTGGTAGTTTGCCGTAGAGCAGTAGTACTCATTGTTTGCGATGTTTCTGCTTGGTGAACTACTGTTGGCTCTATAAGGCACTCTAAGAATGGAGATATTGAATACATCACAGTTTGAGAACAGAAATGCTTAAAAAAAAATGACGGCAAGGCTTATGATAAACAAACAAAATGAACTCGAAGTAGGAGCTCTGACGCATGAGTGACTCTTAGGGCAGCAACAAACGTCGTGCACAACAATGATTTATAGCGGTTTGCTTTTATAGAGACCCTAACCATTGAAATCTGCAATGTGAGAAGGTGAAGCGAGAAGACGAAGGCCAAGGTGGTATTTTAACGAATGAAGATGCCGATGTACAAGGAAATCACAGCACATCGGGACTAACCGGCATGAGGCCCCTCTATGAAGGAGATCCATGGTTGGACACAAAATGCTACATTAATTGCACATTTTATTCAAATGCGTTTCACAACAATGAAGGAACAATAGGAACTATTTGAAAGGCAATGAGTTTGAATTCCTTCTTTCACGAGAAGACAAATCGTAGAGTTTTTTGACTGTGATACTATGACTTTGCACCTTTGCTTTTTGTAGAAGATGCGAGCACCTTAAAATAGAGTGAAGGAGTGAGCGTGACGTACTGATGCTTTGGAAAGAATGATATAAACGTTCATGTTTGTTATATTTTCCTACGCAAGGAGTAAAATAAAACGCCGATTTTGCTTTCTCTATCCATGGCTTTGTCTTTTTTTCCTTTACTATCCATTTCGCCACGAATTAATTGAGTTTTCTAAGAGTCCTTTCATAACTAAAATACAGTTCAGTTACCTTGTCGATATTCTTTTCAATCTCTTCTGCTTCTTTGTAGCTCAGATCGTCCATAGTGTTCTCATCGTAATCCAGTTCACCTCGACATGGATCGTAACCGTATACGACGAACACTGGACACTCTGTTTCCCAAACGATATGTTTACTGAAAGTGTACTATCAGATCCGCGTGAAGACAGACTGCCACCTATTTTTTGTTCCTTAAGATGACTGAGAACATGATTAAAAACAGGTATTTTAAAAGCAGACAACATATGTGCAATGCTTCAGCAGCCATTCTCTTACTCTTTATATTTTGCTTTCCGTTTCAGTAAATCCTCTGCTGATAGCTGGATCCCAGCTCCAGAATATGCAGGATGTCGTCTTATTTGCGAGCGGTCAAAGCTCTAGAAGAAGTTCTAAAGGATAAATTGAATTCTCATGAGGCTAAAAAGACCAGCGAGAGAGTTAATTGCGAATAACATTTTCACTTAAATGCTCACTGTTTCTCATGTAAGAGGACTATGAAAGAAATTTTGAAATACCTTCCGTAATTTGCAGAAAACATAAAAGAGTGTCTCGGAAAGGATTAGACTACTTTGCCCCTTCGCCAACGAACTCCACTGAGGTTAGGAAAACTAATGGCACGTGAGCGAAAGCGTGCAGTAAAAGCCGTTTCTTGTGCACGTTCTCTTTCTACAACACACAATTTATATCAAACAGTATTAATGACCAGTGTGGAACATAAATTCATCTAGCCACTATAACTACTTGACTCCTATTTTTCGGCGCATTCGCTTTGAGTTGAGGTTAACTCATGCCGGCTGAGTGGCCCTCTCCGGCATGTAATGACAGTGCGATCATGTTGGATTCGAAATATCTTTCGATTGATTCCTATACCAGTTTGTTCGTAGTTTACCATGTAATTCCTCTGAGTTATTGATCGTTTCTGCATCTTTAGTTCCGGATACCACGCCAGTGTACGATGTCGAATCTTTGCCTCTACACCAGCATCGCCATTACAGCAGTCAGACGCTTGCGGCTAAAACACAGTCTCAAATAATCTCATCAGTAGATTAACACGTTTTTTCCAACGTGGAGTGCATACAGATTCCCAGTCGACCCTGTCACCAACATCAGTCTAGGTTCTGCTGAAATGCAGATGTTTTGTGTGTTACATTCGGCACACATGAACACTTTGTAGACAAAATTCAACAACTACTTCTCGATCTGATTCGCTATTGCTGTGGTTGTCCGTCGAAGACATGGGTCTCCTTCGTATGAGTGATTTCCAGTCGGTTGCTCGCGAGGCTATGTGGCGCGTCCCCACGTGGCGGTTAGAGGTTAATTGCGGACCAGAAGAGAACTTTGCTTCACTGAGACGCAGGTGGACCCAGAGGATGGGCTCCCAGTTTCTGCTGCGCTGATTTGGCACATACTTTATGTATTTTCTAAGCGTATTCATGCATGCGTGAGTGGGTGCGTTCTTGCTTATGTGGATTATATTCTACAAGTCAATTCGGCCAAAAGCCCGCGATTAATTGACAGGGAAGTATATGGGAGTCGGTTAGGAGCCGCCTCCAACAAATAAGCTCCATGTCCACTCTGGGAGAGCCTGGCAAGCTAGCCGTGAGTATACCCAGCCCTCACGTCCACAACCAGCAAGCTATATGTGGGTATCACGCTAATTTGTAGAATAAACGGGTCGAAATGAGAGCTTAAAATAACCCGATACGCCAGTGTTGGGTAGGACGAGTACGGAGAGGCAGCTAAAATCTCAGGGCCATTCTAAGCTGCCTAAATTGCAAAGAACTTATGTGAAGATCTGTATCTACAATGCGCGCACACTTTCATCCGAATCCTTGGTAGACTTGCTCATGCAAGCAAGAAGGACAAGGTGCGACGTCATCGGCCTGGTCGAGACGAGACGTCGTCACCCATTCAACGCCGTCTATGACACCAGAGAGGAACTGTTCATCGGAACTTGCTACAGTAGAGGAGTCAGCGGCATAGGAATTCACGTCAACACGAGTTTGACCATGAACATCGATTCATTCGAACAGCTTACAACCCGAATCTGACGTTTCCGATTAAAAAGATGATCAATACCGGCTTTGTCAATCTTCGTTTTTACGCACCTACATCAAACTATGACGAAGAAAAAGTCGGAGCGTTCTATATGGACTTGGAGAAGTTCTACAGAAAAGATCATACATTCTCCAAGGTCATCATTGGAGATTTCAACACCAAGATTGGACCAAGAAGAACGTCTGAAGAACGTTACATTGGAACCCACGGATTAGAACGGAACGAGCAAGGTGAGCGACTGTCTGAATTTATTGTGACGACCAAGACCATCCATGAAAACTCGCAATTCCAGAAATCCCATCCTCATTGCTGGATGTAGGAGTCTCCCAATGGAGAGTACCATAACGAAATAGACCACATCATAATTGAATAGAAGGTTTTCGTTTACGGATGTGGCTGTTGTCCCAAAATTCTACACGGGATCAGACAATCGCCTTCTTCGAGCAAGACTTCACTTTTCAAGGAAAAGAGAAAAAGCTGCTAAATTTAAAAAAGAAGACCTAAAATCACTATAAGTTAGGACTTATTCAACTCATTAGTGGGCTGTTGGGAAGATGCCGTTGTCGATAACATCGATAAGGAATACGATCGGCTCATTCAACATTTTTACGTTGGCGCTATGAAAGCTGAGAGTTCGAAAGTCACCAAGAAACTTCTGTCTCCAGAAACTCTCGAGCTGATACGCCATCGTGGAATCGCACGAGCTGCAGACAACAGCGAACTAACATCCGAACTTGCAAAACAATGCAGGCAGACGATAAAAGAAGGTCTTAAAGAGAGAAAGGCAGCAATAATGGTCGAAGCTACACAGGTTGGAAAAAGCATTCGCAAAGCCCACCGAAGCTTCGCCAATTACAAGAACAAAATGATTGCACTCAGACACCCAGACGGAAAAGTTGCAGCGTCCAAAAAGGCAATGGAGAAAATTATTCACTAGATTACTACTCAGATCTCTTCGATGGCCACGTAAACCTTCTCTCATATGAAATAAAGGAGATGGATATGTTGTACCACCGGTTCTCCCTTCCGAAATCCGACATGCCATTTCGTCGGTGAAAAATCGAACAGCACCAGGTTCGGACAGAATAAAACCAGAACACCTGAAGAACTTTTCGCCAGTCGTCGTAGACACACTGGTTTGGCTTTTCACACGTTTCCTGTCTGAATGCAAGGTCCCTACTCAGTGGAAGACCAACATGACCGTGTTGTTGTTCAAGAAGGGTGACCTACACGTTATAGGCAACTATCGGCCAATCTGCTTTCTGTCCGTCGCCTACAAACTTTTCACCCGAGTCATCCTAAACAGGATTGACAGAACACTGGACGAAAAGCAACCATGTGAGCAAGCATGGTTTCGGAAGGGATTTAGTATGATGGACCATATCCACACGATAACAGGACTCATTGAAGTACCGCGAGAGTACAGAAGACCACTCTATCTCGCTTTCATCGAATGAAAGAAGGCCTTTAACTCAAATGACATAGAATCAGTCACGGAAGCTCTTAACAGTCAAGGAGTCCCTACTCAGTACATAAAGATTCTCTGTGATTTGTACAAAAATTTCACAACCAATATAACACCATTCTACAACGATATTAACATTTACTTCAAAAGAGGGCTTAGCAAGACGATACCATCTCGCCAAAATTATTTACCGCCACTTTCCAGAACGTCTTGCGAACATTGGAATGGGTTAATATGGGAGTGAAAATCGATGGCCAGTAGTTACACAATCTTCGTTTTACTGGTCACATCGTCCTTATAACACCAAACATTAACAAAGGTTGCCGACTTTGATAAAGCTTGTGGAGGAATTGGTCTTCGACTAAATCTCACAAAAACGATGTTCATGAGGAACGAATTGGTTTCGTATAACCAGTTCACGCTCAACGGAACCATTATCTCCTAGTTACGTCTACCTAGGACGGGAAATCATCATGAAGAAGAACTTAGCTCCCGACTTGAGCAGAATAAAACTAGCGGCTTGGGGATTTTTCAAGACCATCAAGGATGTAGCGAAGAAAACAAATAACACCCGACTCCGTGCTCACCTTTTCGACTCAGCGGTACATGAGTCAGAAACCTGGTCGCTGCTTGAGATAGATGACTTTGCGTTATTGAACGCGTGGTCGAAAGGGCGATGCTAGGAGTATCCCGTATCACACAATTAAGGGAAGGGATCCGAAGCTCCGACCTGCGTCAAGGATCAAAAATCAAAGATGCCGTTCTGTACGCCAAACAGTCGAGGATAACTGGATTCCTCGGGATGTCAAACGTACTGCAGGAAGACCACCGACCCGATTATCAGAGTTTTTCACGAACAGCCTAGAAAAAAGATATGATGCTTAAAGAGTCCCTGGAACGAGCAGAACCCACTGGGATACTCTTGCACTAGACAGAGAAAAATGAAAGTTTTAGTGGCCCCCGCTCGAGTCACTCGACGTTCAACGGAATTACAGGTAACACAGGCGATTTTGTGTCGTAACCAGTATTACTCTTTCAAGTTGAATTGCACTTAATACCGCTGTTTGTAACAACTTTTGTGTTCTTGATATAGTTGTAAGTTACAGAGACTTCGCAAGCTTACTTGAATCCTCTTGAATGATCATCATTAGAAAGAATCATGCGAAGTTTAGTTTTTTTTTCACTGCTATGTCAGAAAATCCTAGTCAGACTTTCGTCAATGGGAGTAACTAAATGCATCCCGCGATCGTTGTGGACAGATGAAAATTTGTCAGTGTGCAGCTAGATGTTTGTTAAGACGTGGGGATTTCACGCACTTTTCTTACTTAGCGAAACGTCTAACCCTTTCTCAGATATGACAGGGCTGTGGTTTAACTACGTCGCTGTGCATCTCAGTTTGACACCCAAATCAACCCTCAGTTACAATGAGGTGGTAAATCATTTCGGACTATTTTTTCCATTTTTAATTGTTTCGAAAATCACGTACAGTGGTGATTTCACATGTAGAAATATCGTAGACGCTACTTTTCCATTTATATTTTCTGAGATCGTTTGATTCGTTTCTCTTGTGACGTGAGCAGCAGCCTTAATATACGAATGATGCTTTTGTCCTTTGGTATGGAGCTGTAACCTGAACGTTAACCAACTTTTTTTAGATCGTGTGTCCATGGTTGATCCTTTTGTGGTCTTCTTCAGACATAAAAAGAACTGAAATATTTAACGGGATTGAAATCAGGCCAACATCGGGATTGTGCCTTAGGGTTACTCGATGCGCTGATTTAGTAAGTATAGTAAGGACTATATGTAGGGTTGCGTTGACCAACCTGGAATACCATCACAGCAAATAATATATCGACTGGCAGGAGGTTGAGAGCGAGGAGTGGTAGAAGTTCACGGTTAATCAGTTGGTATATAGAATCAAACCTTGCGGAGATGCACATCGACTGACCATCTGAGTAGCGCTCGTGAAATAATGGTATGGTATTGTTGTCGGTTGCTACGAGATACCGTAGAAATCCACGTTTTCAAGTGAAGCATGTGATAAGAATGACGTTATTCTTCTTCTCATACAGACTTCTGCAACCGGTTTTTGCACGTTTTATCGAAAGTTACTAGTTACTGTAGGAGTATTTCATATAATACGTTGTCACGAAAAAATGATGCGCAGTAAGTAAAAACCTATACATTGTAATTTCGACTACAGCCTCAGCTTCGCTTGGTTCAATGCCGATTTGTGATCTTCGGATCATTCCCGTTGAAAAGTGATTGTTGATGACACCGTTAAGTAAAAAACTGGGTGAGAGAGAGACACACCAAGGGTTTCACTGATGCAGCGAGTTATATGTGAGCCATCGGAAAGAGTATCACGGGTTCGAATCTGGCCTGGGGTTTGAGTTTTGCAAACATCTCAGCATCAATGTGTTGTAGTGTGAGTGAGTTATAAGAGGTTGCAAAAATTTCGCTTCATTACAAATGAAAGAAATTTTGTCTCTAAAATCAACTAATTACTCGTCTATAAAGCTAAGTTTCCTATACCAGTGACTGGCATGAATTATGCTGTTCTCGAGATTTATTTGAATTTTCTCACAAACTAGAAAATAAAAAAACTACAGAAGTGCAAAACAAGGAAACTAGAAACCTACGCTAGAAAGAGAGCTAACGTAACATTGCGTGTTGTGGTAAGGTATGGTTTACTCTTTGTTTGCTTTTAATTTACTACATTGCTTACAGAGCCTTGTTAAAGGTTCTGCTATGTTGTCCTATGCTAGCAAATAATAAAGGATAAAGCTCTCGGCGTTGCTCAATCCCTGAGGCATGCGCCATGCATTCGACTTCATTAAGCATCGTTTGGAGGTGATTGAATGCGTATCTGGCCTTTACAATTCCTCGCGGTAGTCTATCGATATATCAAGTCGATCTTGCTATTTTCCCACACAAGCCTGGTACCGATTTGCCGACCCTGTAGGGATGAGGGCTTGGTGGGCCAGGGGAGCGAGAATCGATCTTTTGTGTCTTGCAGGGCGCATTCGACCACTGCACCACGCGCGCCCTTTTTCCTATGCTAGTACACCTTATATTTTCAGGATGTTGCTGACGAGTATGATGCTGACACCTTTGAGCTATAGTTGATTGATTTCAACAGTTATGAAGTCTGGTACAAGGGAATATTACTACAGCCTTCCAAACATTATCGGTAGATTAACAGTTTCGCAAAGGGAAATGACAACTATCGGTGTTATCCCGTCCACTCTCGTCAGAACCGTTGTGATATCTATAGGTGCCGCGCGTCGTGATAATGTTAAGGAAGATCCGACCGAATACAACGATCTGCCTGTCGAAGGACTCAAAATGTGTGTTGAATTTACATCATTTCCTTAAGCCAAAGGATCTGATCGTATTTCTATTACTATTATACTAAGGAGTTGCTAGAGAAGAGAAGGCAACTGGACTTTGATCCAAGTGCAACGCACAACAAGGTTAGTAATAAACGCCAGTTGCTGAAGAGATTTTCAGGAGGATCTGTATCGATGCAGACTGAAAGAAATGAAAGAAACAGCACAAAAAAGAGTCAGTTCGAAGAAATACCCACTGGACTTCTACGGTATAACGTTCTGCTGTCAGCCATGACCAGCGATGGATCACTACACAATCCTTCCGTAATTTGGAATTGATAAAGAAAACTCTATACTAATGTTTTCCGCCGCCTCATCTCCGTCTCGTACCCTAAAATACCTGCTGGAGTAAAACCATCTGGGATTTATTACTCTGTGGTTAGAGTTGCGAGGAAAGATGGAACTCCAGAACCAGATATTATAATATTGCAGCCGACTTCACCAAGCTAAAAGCCGTAAACTACATGGAGTGGGAGTTACTACATGAAGTTTTCGCAAGCTTATGACATCTTGTCTTCGAAAGAACGAAATTGCAGACCAGTGGACGACATCTTGCACTCCCATCCTGCACAAAAAGGCGACCGAAGGAACCTTCGTAACTATTGGCGATATGCTTGTTCTGTGTACTCTAAAAGATATCCACGAATTTAATCGTGTTGAACATATTTGAACATATTTTGAATGAGGAATAACCAGATGAAAAGGCAGGGTTTCGACAGATTCTGTTGCATGGACTACATCCAAACCATCTCACGGGTCATAGAAATCTGCCCGGGATAAAACATGCCCTCAGCCCCGACTGTTGCCCACTGTCAAAAACGTTTGACAGTGTTGAAACGAAGACAGTCTTATCAGCGCTGGTCGACCATGAAGTGAAACCATCACACACACGAACACTAGCTGACTGTTTTCAGAACTGGGGCACAAAAATAAAGCTTTTATATCGACCACTAACCATTGCCATAGGAATAGGGGTTCGACAAGGCGTAACAATATCGTCAAAACTGCTTATTGCCGCACTGCTGTGTATAATGAAGTCACTCAATTAGAACGAGAAGGGCACATGTATTGATGAAAAATCCCTACGATATCTTCATTTCGCTGGCAACATCGTCATGTTTTCAAAAAGCATCAACGAAGCACAGACGATGATCAACGAGGTTAACGAAAGAGAAAAGAGACCGCATTATGCATAAATCGAAAGAGCACCCTCTTCATAAAAAAAACAATGGTGCGAAGGCGAACAGATCAAACTGGGTGGTACTCTTGTAACAGAGACCATCTCACACGTATACCTTGCGCGTTCAATGAACATAGAAAACAACATGAAGGAGGAATTACACAGAAGAAGGAGAGCAGCATGGCCACATTCGAGCCACTTAAAGAAGCCACCGACCAATTAACGTGGTCAAAACTCTGCACTCACATTTTTGATTCAGCAGTCCTCATAGCCCTCCTTTATGTTGCAGAGAAGTGGACCGGCACTTCAACCACGTCAAGAATGCTGCGCACTACTCACAGAGCGCTTGAACGTTGTCTTCTAAAACACAACCGCCATAAACAAAATCAAGCCGGAATGCAAAGCTCAGATCTTCGGCGTTTATCCCATCTTCGAGATATACATAGTTAGAAAAGCATAGATGGATCTGCCGGTCATACAATAGGCAGAGAAGATGAGAGATGTACGAAAAGAGCCGTAAAGTGGGTCACAAGAGGATGCGAGTGTCCACTTGGACGATCTACACGATGGTTGGACATATTTAACTAAAGTCAATCAGCTATACTCTCCTCTGCAGGTGCTTTATGAATCACACCATGAGACTCGCACCCACTATTATGCTCGAATCAAACCATCACTATGGAAGACGATAACGAGACAAAGAAACTAATGGAAAACGCATTGGAGTCTGCATAACTCGTGATGACGGGCGATCTAATCAAGCCTAAGCAACAAGTGTACAAGAAAAATGATTATTTTTCGACGTCATATTCTTGAAAAGTCAGAGTGAGTGAGATCTGGACCCAGCGAAACAGCCGACTTGTCAGCTATTTTGGAAAAAGTGATTTAAGAACCCGCTCGTGTCTGCTTGTCAAGAAAACAGCGAATCATTTGAACACTATTCAAGGTGGAAACGGTCTCATCGACCTAATCCGTCGATACAACAGCGTCAGTGGTCAGCGTCATCCGTAAGCTACCAATTGTGCAGGCATTGTTACTTATATATTTAAAGATTCGAGAAGATAGATCACTGAAGAAGACCTGGCTCGACACGAAGGCGAAGCTGCAACGTCGAGACGAACAACAATCATGGACCATCGACTCGGATCATCGGCTCTGAGGAAGACGAAGACGTCGAAACGTTCGCCGAAAATAAATATATTTATCAACCTCGTGTAAGCTTATCAAGAAAGAATGCATATTGATTAGTCACACCGAAGTTCAGGGAAAGTCGGTTTCGAAATCTTCATCATTTATTTTAGTACTCTATAATTCGTTCTCCAGGGTGCTGACAGTACAGTGGTAGTGATGTCGGTTATCACGAACACGGTGCTAGTTCGATTCCGCTCCGAGCCAACCAAGCCCCTCATCCCTTCGGGGTCGGGAAATCGGTACCGGACTTGTCTGGAGAAAAAATCACTGTCTGCAAATCAATTGAGAACGCACAAATCCAGCTATCTCGGGACTCCAGAAAAGATCGACTCGACCAGCATTCTACGACATTCAGGATGATATGAAAATACCCAGGCAGCGACCGAAGCCACACGTAAAAGTTGGAAGATCTTCGTGGACAATGGATGCGAGGAAGCGAATCGAATGTGAGAAGTGCTGGCAACCGCACGGTAGACGTGAAGACGGATCAAATGAAATATAATATAATAAAATAAAATGATTCGTTCCCCTTCTTGAAGATTGCATTCTTGTAACAAGCCCTAAATTTCCGCATGTTTCATTGTCAACAGATTTGCTGTTACATAATTGATTTCAATAGTGCAATGTTAGCGAGGTATCGCTTGTCACATATCAGGATCACTAAGTAGTACATTTCCTTCAGAGCAGTTCCCAATTCAGTTGCCCGACCGATCGTCGCATCAGTGGGCTTTTCTCAAAGGCCGGGAAGTTCCTGGAGAAACACGAGATAAAACGAATTCGTTAAATGCATCATATGTGATTCATTCTAGACGTTTTTACCTGTACACTGAATGTTCAGCAAGTTTACAGAGACTGAGCGGAGTTTTTTGATTAGGAAAATAAGTGATTCTAAAGTTTGCTGTTGTTAATAAAATGCTGTGGTCATAGGCTTTCTATGGATAAAAAGAATATAACGTGTAAAGAATGTTCTTATTTCACAAAAATAAAACTGTTTTTGAAGCTCGCAGGAAGTGGGGATTAACTCACTTGAGTGACGACCCTAGTTCTGCAGTAATAACTCCTCCACTTCGATCACAATCGATAGCCAGAGGATAACTGATGAACGAGTTCTCACTTGAATACAGTTTTGGCTAAATCGAATTATATTGTCATAAGGATTTAATTTTGTTCTTTTGGCTTGATTTGTGATAGTGGCAATATACACGGTTTATGAAGGACGGGCGATAGAGTGTTCTTAATAGCTTTGGTATATGACATGCATTCGACTGAATTCGTAGCATTACAAAGGAGATCGAAGATATATTTGGCCAATACAAAAATTTTAGGTGGTCAATGGTTGCAATGATTCAGTGTTTTTGCCCTGTCAAACGAATCTGGTACCAGTTTACCGACTCCGACAAATGGACACCGTGGGTGGTTGGATAGACCAACGACCACATGTTGATTCTAGTGCACCCCCAGCAACTGCACGATGAGCGCTTATAAATTGCTTCTTATCCATCTGGAGTGTGAACAAACGGGTAATATTGAGACATCCATAATTTGCGACTGCTTTCGATTACCATGTACACGATTATGGTATACGGATAGTTCCCATTACTGCGCTCAATACTGACTATATATAATTTCATTATTTTACTAACCACTCAATTAAACTAGTAAGTAGATTGAATTGAACATTTAGACTGAACCCAAAACTACCACATCGTATCGAGTAAGTTCAGCTCGAGTTCAGAGACAAATAGATGAGAGATGAATGGTGTTGCCTAGACAACAAGATGAACTCTAACAATTTGAATAGATTTCTAAATCTCTTCCACGGTTAGGCACAGTAGTCGGAGGCACTCTGCAATACAAATAAAATCGATTCCCGCACACCTGGCCCACCAAACCCTCCATCCCTCTGGAGTAGGCAAATTGGTACCAAACTTGTCTAGGAGGATAGCGGCACTGGCTCGATACATCGGTAGGCCACTGCGAGTCATTGTAAAGGCGAGATATGCATTCAATCACCTCCAACGATGCTTAATGAAGTCAAATGCATGGCGCACCCCTCAAGAAGAGATCGACGTCGAGAACGTTGTCCTTTCTATCCTTATATAGTTTCTTGTCGATTTAAAATACAAGTTACGATAAATTTTGGGTTTAGAGGTTATTTTTTGAATGTTAAGCTATGAACATCGTAATAGACGTACTTTAATCGGAACTTGTTTGAATTTGAACGAATTCATATCGAGACCGTACATATTGAATGTTGGTGGTGGTGCTGTGATGGGTATCATAGACGGTCTGAAAAGTATATGTCCTGAAGGAAGAACACATTCTGGAAATTCTAACATAGCTTTACAGCTTACCCATACATCCAACGTAGTACTTTCATGTAGACATACAGTGAAAATCCTCCATCTAGTCGACGCACCCAAAGCACGAATCGAAGCAAAATTGTAATCACCTTACTGGAAAAACCTTTTCCATTCAGTTCAGTGGAATACTTAAGATTCAAATGTAGTACAACGCATTGAAGGAACTTCATTTTACATTTTTTGTCCATAGGAATCCATATTTACGACTTTATCCAAGTGATGTAGAGTTACATTACTTGTTCTTTCATATTTCCAAGTAGTGGTCCACGTAACTCCGAATTTGAGCGGTTTCTTCTTATTAGAACATAAAGCAACTCACATAATATACAATAGGACGCTAAGGTAGACGCTCCACCTCCATGTGTTTAGCTGCTCAAAGTCCGAAGTAATCGTGGTAAGCCAAATGTTCTCATTCCTGTGACACACTTGGCGGAGATGGCGAGTGCAAAGGAAACGAGGGAATCTGAGTATTCAAAAATTCACGAATTGAAGGTATGAAGGTAGCGTCGACTCAGTTAATCAGCAATGTTAGATCAAGCCTATAGGGTAAACGAGGGCTTATGTGCTCAATGTTTTTTCTGGAAAATATTAACAATGGATTTTCTTTCGAACCGCCGAAACTTACAACACCGAAGAGTTGTCTAGAGGAATCAGTTCACAATGTACCGTACTTATTTTTGATGCAAATGATGCTCTTCCGACTAATGTACTCTCAAACAGATCGAATTCGGAGCTGAAATTAAAAATCACATGAATGTGTCTTCCAGCTTCGACTTTGTCTTCAATCACAAATTCTAGAAGCTCTTTTTTTCTTTCGAATCAAATACGTATCGTACTTCTTAAGCAGAAAAACAAGCCCGTTCTTCTCAGCCAAAATTCCTGATGGGAATATGCCTAAGTCCTCATCACGGTTTACAAGAAATCGTTCGAATTGTCTTATCTAGAAATGAGACAATTAGTGATAAATGCTTGTGAAGAGCGCAATGTTTGAAAAACTGTTTTGTAGCTGATCAAGCTAGCGTTCGGCGATGTTCAGTAGTTTATAGCTCAGCTGTTTGTCGCCTCACCACTACCTCCCTGGGTGATGCATATGCAACAACGAATTCGAAACCGCTGCACGATTATCCAAGTTTAGAAGCATAAAGGTTTTCATAGATCTATCCAGTTAACAATAAATCGATGGCAGGGATCATTTTATCCGGAAATAAACTAGTCATGAGGCAGCAGATTCCTCCGATTTACTGGGCTAGCTACTTGTTGCAGTTATGTGCTAGGAACGCTTTGGCGGAGCTGTCTCGGTATTCCAAGAGAAGAATCGTGATTTTTGTACTTATACCGATGCTAAGGGATTCAATGATAATTGCTAGGTGTGCTCAAAAATACGAACCATGGGGGTGACGTCCTTGTTAGGAAAAACCGATGCATTTAGCGGGTCAGCTGCGATCAAATGCCCAACCACTTGTCGATGGATTCCTTCCGGACCAGTGTATCCGGTCACCATCAAAAAACCTTCGTCGAGAAGGCCCATACCTGTGTTGCTTATCATTCATATATTAGACGGAAATGAAATCTAGCAATGGTATATCGTCCGTCAAAATTTGGTTGATTTTGGTCGAGAAGAAACTTCGGAATTAGAGATTGTAGTCTTAGGCTCGTTACATAAAAGGCTTGAAATGAACTGAGAATGAACCGAAAACGTTTCAGAAAGATTACGAGAGATTACGATTTAACATGCAGTTGCATCGTCTAGCGAGAAATTTTATTCTATGCAAAGCTAAACAATTTTTCCGCCTTCTTTCTCAATGGCTTTATCACAACCAACGAGAGCGCCCAACTTTTTCATGGTCAGTTCACCCATACTGCATTTTTTAAGCTAAATAAAGGATTTTAGGGACCTGAAAGTCATAGCCTAGTTTGTTTCTTGGACACAGGGTAGATGATGGAATTTTGACTTTTATCGGATTTGTTGACATTTAGCTTGCCAACTAACCAACGGTAAGGCCAGAGTTGAGGGCTGGCAGAGTCATCGTACGTTTCATAATCAGCGTTGCATTTTCGGTAATGTCATTCAATAAGAGGACGTGTTGAGAGAAGTGGTAGTTTTCAACATTGTAAGTTAGTAGGACGGCTAAAAATAAGTTTGATGAAAGACTTAAACTGATGGCAGTACTCATTAAGTACCAATGTTGTCTGCAAGTAGATAAAAATCGCTGGACTGTCGCAGTTCGTCGGGTGTGATGTCGCTGTCAATCATAAAGGTTTTGTTCTGGAAAACTCGTCATAAATTTTCTTTTCATCAAAGTTTTGACAAACATCGGTGAAACATTTCGTGTCCGTTTGACATAAAACTCTTACCTCTCCAGTACGTATTGAACAGCGACAAATCAGACGATTCGTCAGCATCACGACAGCTTCTCGAGTATCCGGATCCAATGCTAGTCTCATGCCAATTTTCACCGAGTAAATCATCTTAAAGGAAACGATTTTCATCGGGTTCCGCTCTCTGGGCATCACCGCTTTTTAGCTGAACTAACCGCATATGTCATAAATATGAGATGGAAATATTATTCTAGTGCACAATAACGTACATCCCCACGTGGATTCACAGCGAATAATTGTGGTGATATGAATGCATCCGGTGCGTCGAATTCGAAAAAGAGCTGTCCGCCAGAGACCTGTGATGGTGGAGACGTCTTCGAGGTACACGTTAAAAACGATGACGTTGTGCCATTCAATCCTGATACATTAGTAGTTCCTGATGACATCGACACGGTCGACTACGGTCCAGCAAGTTAGTACATAAATGAATATTACCGGCAGTAATTGTAACAGTTATCTTTTTCTTGGAATAAAAACATGTCTTGATAGACATATGAAGTGAACTCGGTTCATTCTTCAAGCGATGGAGAATTTCAACTATCCTGTTTCGAGGATCGGTTGTGAAGACAAGATTATGCAAACTCGTCGCCAGTTAGAAGAGGTCAGCATCTTTATACTGAAAAGATCCTAATTGAGCATAAATCGTCATATTTCAGGTGATGGACATGATGCGTTCCAATATTGAAAAATTATCCGAGCGCAGTGAGCGACTCGAAGACCTCGCTTGTCGTGCTGGTTAGTCACAACTGGCCTGCCTCTTATTTACAATAGTTCCCAGGATCGACTTTCTATTAACTTCGGCATTGGAATATGAATGCGTCGTTTTCTTGTTCAGCAATCGCGAGGTTTTTAAACAGCATACATTTACTTTTATGGAAAAACACAATACAATAGAACACTAGCTGACGTTTCGGCAGTATCGATAAACTCCGCTTTTTCCAGTATTTTGGTGGTCTAGCCATTGTGGTTGGCTGGGGTCTCGAGATCAGTCAGGTCTCGCCAGATCGTCACCACCACAGGCATTCGCCGCCTTTGTGGAACAGTGGGAGATATGCCAGTATGCGACTAGTTTCATACCAGGATGGTGGTGGATCCTGGTATTGGTTTACTCTTAGTCAGGCTTCCCGATGGAAACGGCAGGTCTCCCAGCATGGAAGGCCCTGCCGGGTGGACGAATCCCAGCTGTACATCGCAGCCCAACACGCAGAAACACCTTCCAGCCACAATGTGGTGGCAAACCGCTGGGATCCTATAAACTAGTGGCATTTAACTCAGAATGTCATCTATCATTATAAAAATGTCATGGACAACCGTACTACGACGTCAAACATTCTTAAATTCTGAGAGAATTTTTTGCTTGGCTAAAGAAAAACAAGCAATAGTTTCCACGACCGACTTTCTATTAACCTCGGCATTGATCGAACAACTCTTCACATTGTTGAGCTAATGCGAGGTTCTATTCAACCACTCAATCAATAGCCGTTTAATTAGTAGTCCTGTTGTGATACGTGCTTTTTCTAAACCGCTTATTACAGAAGTACTGGATATGTCCTCAAATGAATTTCAACGTTGTGCTAGTGAGGTACGACGTCAGAAGCAATGGAAAACATACGCCGGTAAATTTGTCGCTATCGGCCTAATCGGCATCGCGGTTATTTCCACAGTTGGTGAGCCATTTCGCACTGTTTATAACAAAATGCATGTTATCAGACGCGAAATTACAGACCGCATTTGAAAGCATAATGTAAGAGGATATCACTCAGGTATTGCATGTCAATAAGCTAGGCTTAGTTATGTAGTACTTTGCAGTACTTAAGAAGTCTGCATAAAAAGCACTAAATACTAATGAGACGCCAGCTTTCTGCTAATTTGGACGGAAGCGGCGCAAAAACGACCCAAAACACATGTTGTGGATAATTATGTCAACATCAACCCAGCTGTTGTTTAACACATTAGCGACGAAATGACTCATATATGACTAATGCGTTTCGGGAATAACTGGCCAGGATGGGTTACATTCGACTCACTCTCCATTCAGTCATTTATCTTGCTGCATTGAGATTTTTTGCACTATTTTTGTATTTGTTCGATTCCTTTACCTGTCATCTGTCATCCCGTTCATCGTTGAGTGACACGAGCGTGCGGCAGTAAATCTTTCATTTCTTAGGTTGCAAGAATAACTGAGTTCTGTTGGCCCTAGGAAATGACCATCATATCTTTTTCTCAGGGTTTTCATGAATGAATCTAACCATCGGGTCGGTGGTTTTCCTGTAGTGTGTTTGAAATCCCGAGGAATCCGGTTGCTAACGGCCCTTGTCCATCGGTTGTCGTTCTTACGCATTACGTGTCCAGCCCAGTTTATCTTCGAGTGCTTGGGGCACAGAACGGGATCCTTGACTTTTGATCGTTGACGCAGGTCGGAGCTTCGGATTCCTTCCCTTACTTGCGTGACTGACGCATACATTAAGGCAGAAAGTGCCGTTGACTCGAAAATGTGGGCACGGAGTCGGGTGTTATTGTTCTGTCCACTGTATCCTCAATGGTCTTGAAAGCTCCCAAGCCGCTCGCTTCCTCCTACCCAACTCTGGAGCTAAGCTATTCATCATACTGATTTCCCCACCTAGATAAATGTAACTGTAGCAATCGGAGATGTTCAGTCTGTTGAGTGTGAATGGGGCTTAATCACTTATCAAACATAGATGTTGTGGTGAGTGTCGATCGAGGACGCATCGTTCGTACACCTGGAAATTAACAGAACATTCTCAGATGGATTTGTTCGTTTGATTTGTATTCCATAGCGGAAAATTGTTGCATATAAGGCTGATAGAGAGGGTTGGAGTGCATATCAAGTGAGTACTAGGATAGTCAGCGCCGTGAACAATCCAGCAGCGATTAATCGCTCTTTATGGCGACAGAGAAGCATAAAACCTTTACTAAGGGCGCAAATGTAGAGAGCATACAGCTCATATTTACGGGCGGTTTAGGCATATTTAGTGAACGAATCACATGCGACTCATTCTATGAGCGCTGTAAAATTAGGCGTTGTAGGCAATTTATTAATAACCAATGTAGCTTGTACAATCTTCCTAAAATATTAATAATTAAACCACCAAAATGATTCTTCTTGATTTTCTTTTGGCAACGTACTGCAACTCGAACTGGTTGCGCAGGAATGTGTGATTTCCAGAGAGTGGAATATCATCAAGAGCCAAATATATTTCCAGCAGAAGGAAATAGCATATTTTTATTCTAACTATAAAAGCTATTTTCTTTCAAGATGGCTACCAGCCAACTGCCTTTCTTTGATCATAAATGTCTCATTTCAGGATACTTCGCCCTGTAACTGCAGCCTATTTCTGATCAATTGACACCTAACTCCAGCGATTGCCTGTGATCCGTTGTATCTGTAGTAAATACTTTCACGACACACTCTGCTTTTCACTTGCACTTCCATTCTTGCAAGAACTCCAAAGATGTGCAGAACGTTTACCTCTGTATCAATACACATTTGAAGAACTACGTCCGGGCAATAAGACAAAGTTGAAAAGGACTCTTCATCATAATAAAGGAGGTTGAGTTTTCTTAGTGGCAAATTATTAATCAAATAGTTCAATAATATACTTAAAAGCTGACTTGACTCAAAAACCATCCGGCAGACAGTTTCTTGAATTCCTATTATAAAAGCTAAAAGCTCTCGGTGTTGATCAATCCCTGAGGCATGCGCCATGCATTCCACTTCATTAAGCATCGTTTGGAAGTGATTGAATGCATATCTGGCCTTTACAATGACTCGCGGTGGCCTATCGATGTACCGAGCCAATGCTGATCTCCTGATAGAAGGCTTAGTGGGCCATGGGCGCGCTCGTCGATTCCAGCTGTCGCGGGGCGCCCCGACCACTGCGCCACACGCACCCTTGATTTCCTAATATATCCCTCTTAAATATATAAATATTACAAATCTGCAAAAATCGGTTGAAAACTACAGATTATGAACAATATAACGTTTATTTTTACAATAAAAATCTCCAATGGAAACTGATAACAAAGAAGAATCAAGAAGAGGACGGATTATAAAGTGAGGATCGCATGCAGTCAAGAGGTTCGTCAGTGTGCCTATCTCAAAAGTATTGCTAAACCGACTTGTCAGTACAACAGAAAAGTTACTGCCCCTCGTCCCACCCAACAACTTTGCTTTAAAAAAAAAGACGCATCGATGTTTTTTGTGATAAAGAAACGGTAAAATGGAATAAGAAAATCGGGAGAAGACAGTAGCAGACTGAGAGGAAAGAATCATACAGAAGATCTTACTGTGAACCGTATCAAGAGACTACGTGTAACAGACAGGTTTCAAAAGTTTATGAACCGAGTTCTCGTTCACAGCACTGGATATTCGGCTTGTGCTAAAGTCTACTATCGGCACTGAACAGTTACCAGCAACAATGAGTCTCCTACTCAGGTTATTCCAACTAATCGAAATGCATTATTTGAAATGTTGCTGGTAGCTGTTTTGTCTATAATGGACAATGGTCCCTATATGAGCCGAAGTTCTGGCTGGTGCTTGTTGGGACTGGGTGGAACAGTTCGTGCAAGCCTATAGTGGTGGGGAATGAGAGCGTTTGATACAGATGAGGTACGTGGAGGAGAAACATAAGCACGAGACCGACGTCAACCCGCTGAACGTCAGTAGTACCTTTACTGGCGACGGAAAATTGCCGCATAATATCAAAAAACGGTAACGACAATCGGCGAGAGCACCCAGAGAGACAAATTACGACCCAACGAGTTATCTGTTAAGCGCGCCCTCACCCCAAAATAAATTCGACGATAAAACTACTTGAGTGTTTTAATGCACTGGACCATCTAACACCCTACAACAAATACCTTAGTTCTTTCCTATCTGACCGCTTCCAAATATATTACCACAACACTACAAAAGGTAAACCATCAGAGCGGACAGACACCTCCCAAGGCCCATCAACTTAAAGACAACTAACCACAAAAACACCTACAGAAATACAAAGGCGAGAACGAACCCAATACCGTGTGAACATTGCGCCATGAACCACACGTAGATCGAAGGAGAATACAAATGACTAATTATGAAGAAACGACTATCACAATGATCGGTTAGTGAGAGCAAACCTAAGTAAACGATGAATGGTGGGTAAACAAAAAACGAACGAGGGAAAGGTTACAATTCAGGATGGGAGATGGGCCAGTACAGAGGATAATGGTGATAACATGGAGATGTTCAAAAAGGACCAATTGATGATCACACAAGAGATTGGCGATAATAGAAGACGAGACAGAGGTATTGTACAATGGAACCCATGACAGCAATACCTGAAAACAATAGAGATAATAAAAGCAAAAGTAAAAGCGCTAAGAAAAGTGGTGGAACTAGAACCTAGTTTATGAATAGCAATAAACTACATAGATGCTAAAAAATATACCGTTATTGTTCTGGCTTCACTCGAAATCCTTATCTTCAAGGTATCGATATTCGAATGTAAACGACTCCTTTTTCCTTTGTGACCATTTTTCGTAGTCAAAGTACACATAAGTTCCCTTAACGAAGCAACCTTGTGGCATAGCATATTAGTTAAGTAAGAAGTTTTCTCTTGAAAAAATTTAATTCATAAATGACTGGTATCCCGATTATGCGTTGATTTTTGTAAGAGAAAAAAGAACCTGCTCAAAATCATCCGTGATTTGCTTCGGTTCCTCGTGCCGTTGAAACCACGTGAGATACTTGGTATGAAAGCGCCACGACAACTTCTTTAATGCCTTTGCTGCTAACAACTGTGCCCGTGTTCCCTTAAAATAGGATATTAGAACATAAGGACAAGTTGCCGACAGCAGTGGAACTTTAAAGCGCAATGAACTTAATGAACAAAGAGCAGGGCCAACCTCCATATAATAAAAAATGAAAAACAAGGTTTCCGGGCTCAGCCTTAAATAGTACTCGAGAGTATCGACATTTTGCGCAGATACCTAAAAACACTACAAGCAATGAAAATATGTTAAGCAGAGGAAAATTTGAATGGCACATGAGTTTTAGTAAAGTGCAATCATTGCAAAAAGCTAGATTTACTCTTCGTTAAGAACATTTCGCCGCGAACTGTTCCATAGATCTAACAGGTAAAGTAACATTTCGCTGTTATGAGTCATACTAGAACCTTTTGTAATAAACATTTGTTGCTTATGATACGGTTTCACAACACTTTTTAACATTGTCTGTTGCTTAACTGAATGTTTAATACCTTTCCAAAGCTACACTTCCCAAAAACATTTTTCGAGGATTTTGGGCCTGTTGTGGTGCGTATAACGCAGAACCTAGAGGTGCCCTGCTACATATGTAGTCGCTGGTTCTATCCCGCACCCACAGGTCTCATCATGCTTTTCATCCTTTTAGGGTTGGCAAGTTAGTATCAAACTTATCTGGGAGAATAACAGCACTGACTCCGTATATCGGCAAGCAACGGCAAGCCAAGATGTAGGCTAAATATTCAATCGGTCATCTCTAGCGATGCTTGATGAAGTCGACAACTCGAATGTATGGCGCATCGCTCAAAGACTGATCAGCGCCGAGCGCTTTATCCTTTAGGCTTGTTGAAATGGTGTTGTTAAAAGAAGACCGCGTCGCTTTACTGCATGACTCTAACCATAGACATATCACCACAGAAGAAATTCTATATATTATCAAATCTTGAGGTCGTTTTAGAACGTATATTGCGCTGATGATTAGGGATGTTCGAGAAAAGTTCGCAATGGGAAAGATGAGTCTTCATAAAGGAGGTCGTTAGCGTTTTTCAACAATTGTTGACGAACATTTAAAAACGGTGACAAAACCTAATCTTCTAAAAAGTGTATTAGAGATTGCAGAACTGATCGCTAACCGTTTAACAATCCTTCATTATTTTAGACACTACGAAAAGGTGAGTAGCACTTCAACGAATGGGTTCCAAACAAATTTAAAGAAGCAGAAGAATCCTGCGCTTAATTTTTGCCACAAAAAAACTTGTTTCTGAAACGAAGTGATGCTCGATTAGAAGTGGACCTGTGCGACAACCGACAACGGTTTGACCAAGATGAAACTTCTTAATACTTTCTAAACACGAATTCTCACTATAGCAAGAGTACGATGATTACTTGGCAAACTGCCGCTGAATTAATCCAAAAGTTTCTGACTCCTAGCAAAATGATCACAACAGAAAAAGATTACCATGAAATCTAAAAAATACGTTAAAAATCGCAGCACTGCACTAGCATTCGTCAACAGAAGAGATGCAGTGGTCGTGTATGACAACGCTTGACCACAAATTCTATAACGAATGCTTCAGCAATCAAACCACTTAACCTACGAAATTTTATAGTGTACTTATTGGACCTCTCATTAAACAATTACCGCTTTGTCAAGAATCCTGACAACTAGTTCTAAGGTAGAAGCTTCAACAACTAAATGCCCTGACAGAAACGGTTCTGCGGAATTCATCTTTTTTCGAAGCTTCAGGACTTTCTAGTACGAAGACAAATTAGCTCACATCTTGTTGGTAAAATGTGTAGATTTCATAAGTTCTTATTCTGAACAACATAGTTAATACTTAAAAGATAGGAGAGGAGATAAAAGAAGATAAGGCAAAGGACAAGGTGGAGAGAGAAGAGATACGAGGTAAAAAATAAGAGAGGACATAAGATAAGAGACAGAGAGAGAGAGAGAGAGAGAATAGGACAAGATTTACCAAGAACAATGAACGAGGAACTCCTTTCAAATAAGAGTATAGACCGCGAAAGCGTGGCCTATCGAGTGTTAGAATCCCATTAATAGGGAACACGAGCTGGGTTTAGACGTATACACGACATGATAGTTTATGTAAGCTGATCATGGTGCTGAATCCAGCAAGCAGCCTTGGAGTTTTCCCGGCTTTCCATCGGAAAGCTAGCAAAGAGTGGAATAAGAGATATAAAAAAGAGAGGAGATAAGAGAAAAGGTAGAGCAGATACGAAGGAATTACTCCCGTTTGAAAGAGAAACTCCTTCGGTACAAGTATGGTTGCGTTTAGACGTATTTATGACATGACAGTTTATGTCATAGTACATAGCTTCGCCGGTACGGATAATCGCTGCTGGTTGCCAAAGCCAGAACACCTTGGTTCAAGATCAGGGTGGAAAATCGCATCTTTACGATGTGTATGCTAGTAATGGTGTTGAATCCAGGAAAACAGCCTCAGATATTTCCGGGCTTTGAATTAGGAAGTTTAGTTAAGAGTAAACCATTACCAGGATCAACTACCGTCCTGATATCAAAGTCGTATGGTGGCAAATTTCCCTTTGATTCAGAAGGGCTGTGACTGCCTGTGGTGGTGACGATCCACGGCAGACCCTAGCCAGGATGACCTCGGGATACCGGGGAACCACAATGGCTCAACCGGCAAGTCTCCAATAAAAGAAAATGGAGATTGTGCTGGCGCCCGCACAACTTGTGAAAACGGGCTATCCAAGTATCCAAGTATAACTAATACCTAGGCTAAGTTAGAGTATTTCAGAATTGCCTTTGAGAAATCGCTAATACTTTCGTATCAGCTTAATATCACTTAACGTGAGAATTACATACTTTATACTTGAAGGACCCTTGCGGGCCCCAGCGTAATCACCATTCTTCGGAGATTTGCTGGTTAAGCATTGTTTTTCCCTGGAATCCCGAGGACGGCCTGGTCAAAGTCTGCCCCCAGGTCGTCACCATGACAGGCAGTCAGCCTTTGTGGATCAGAGTGAGATTTGCCACCATGCGACTTCGATACCCGGACGGTGGTGGACCCTGATATTGGTTTACTCTCAGCTAGGCTTCCTGGTGGAAACGCCAAACTCCTTCTCGGCTTGGGGGACCTTGTCAGGGGGACGAATACCCCGCTGTACATCGCAGTCCGACACCCAGAAACATCTCTCAGCCACAATGAGGCTGTAAACCGTTGGGTGGTACGTAGGAATTACTGTGGAAAAAAGGTAAAAATTTACAATTCACTGTTCTTTTAGTGAGCAAACACGAGACCGTTACCATACTACTAGTTTTATCAAGAAAAGCTGACGCTTTCGCCTTTTTCAGACCCTGGAAAGGTCAGGTTGACTGCAATCTAGTCAGCCAATTACTATCTCCAAAACCTCAACAAAAAAAAAACCATGAACAGCAAATTTCGATCCCAATGGAAACAATTTCCTCATAGATTGACCGCTATTCATGAGTCTTCAAATTGTTTGCTCTTTATTTCCTTAGTCCTCGCGGTCTATGCTTAAGTATTTATAATAATGAAGTATCTGAGCTTTTTGATAAAATAATATGGATTGGAAAAGTACAAGACACATGAAAACAAAACCATACCTGAGGATAGTAGGATGCGCAAGGACAGGGAATTTTTGGTAGATAGGTTCGTGGCCGTTCACTATCCATCGGTAAAGGCGTACGTGCAAGGGAGGCTTCCAGCGCAGCGAGCTGTATATCCATCTCGTTGGTTGTCGGTGTACGACCCAGTGGTGATGCGCCAAGCCAGGCCGGAATGTGGGCCTGAACAAATGCGAACTTAACAATCAAATCAAGCACAAATTAAATAAACATGAGTATGAAAGAAACCACGCTAACCCTCTGCGGCTCAGTGTTGACAGGTTGATGATTTTGTTGCGACAAGCGAAGCACCCGTAACGGATCATCAGCCGCATCAAGTGTCACTTCAAAATTTACGAGTTAGGTATTAACATAACTAGCGATATAGATGAAGAAGAGTTCTCAAAGAAGACATTTACCGTCATCTGACCGGTGGCCACTTGAAGATTCATTCATAATCCTCTGCGCACTTTCAACAACGTCTGCCATAGCCGATATTGTGCTGCCTTCAGCAGTAAGGGCCGTAGATGCCTGAACAATGAGTCATTAGAAAGACCATAACGTGGTACTTTTTAAACCATAAAGCACCTTTGAAGAGTATTTGGAAGTTGAAGACATACAACCTTTTTTTTAGTGGAGAAATTATTTCGCGTTAAAAAATAATCGACCCATCCCAGCTACCAAATTGAAACTGTTAAGCATTATTCGCTTTTGCAAAGAAACCCATGGGAAGTCTCTGTAAATAGCTCCTGGATGACGACCAAACCCTGTGGAAATTTACAAAAATGTTCTTCTTATCAAGAAGTCACATCCCAGATTATTTCCTAGAAGACATCGGCTCAGAGTTAATATGTGAAATTTACGGAGCTCAAAAAGGATTACTCTACATTCTTTCCTTTTATCAACACTGCATAAAAAATTGTGCTCGATGAAAAAAAAGGAAGAGAAAATCCATGAGAAAAGTGAAACGAACTTACGAAAGAACGTCAAAAGTTACTACATTTAAGAATTATATAGCATTTTTTTGTGGATCTGTTTCTTTTTTAAATAATGACCAGCACACTTTAACTTTGACAGCTTGAACGCATAGCTTTTTCTTAAGATTAAAAATGTAAATCCCTCCATATTTCTTATTTTCCAACACAAACACTCCTTTACGCGAAAAATAAACTGTTCTGCCATACAGACGTACCTCGTTAGCCGTATAAAATTCGTTGTTGAACGTGAACTGTTGTACAGCTGTTGCGGTTGGCGTACTCAACGACGGATTCTTTAAATTTCTCACAATGTATCCAGTTCATTTAAAAAAAAACAGAAAACACTTAAGAGGAAACTTCACAGCCACACCACTTCTAATGTGCATCCACTAGATCACAATAAAGATGGAAAAACGACCCATGACAGTATGTACCTCATGTCAAGGTCGAATTCAACACACCTATTCTAACAAACAGATGCAACTAAAAAGGGCTTTTGTTGTAGTACCGACACAATTTCATTTTGGGATATCTCAAGACAAAATGCAAATGCCCATGCAAACTCCACATCACGCCTGCGCAAGAGTAGTTTTTAGAGTAGCACCTCTGATGATGCGCCATTCACAGATACGGTCGGTTGAGTAGTCGTTGATGCGTGGGAATCATCCAGCTTATTCAACATGGTGATATCGGAAGACGATATGGCACCACCCTAAACCCCTCAACGTACTGGCACAAAGGCAACGATGGATGGTGATATGCGAAGTGATCAATCGCAAAAAACTAATTCCATTTGTAGATTTATAGAAAAAGGCAAATATTTTCTACAGCTAAAAGAAAGCAGAAAACAACCACTCCAACAGCAAGCCCATGCTATTGCTTACCTCATTCTGACTCGAGATAGTAGAACCTGCATCATCATCTGGTACACTTGCTAAGTTCTGTTGATTTGAAGCAGACGTTATCAACTGGACCAATTGAACACTCCCTGTATTATTCGCTCCAGGCTTTCTGAAATACTCGGTTAGAACAGTGGAGAAATGACTAATTCTACAACAAAAAGCTCTATCTTAACCTTTTTATTTACTGCCCATTCTTTTCAATGGCAGGGTAAGTTGCGAAATATAACTTTCGTAATGCTGAAATATTTGCAAAACTCTGGACTACAGGTGTCTGCGGTGGGGAACAAATGCGCTATTGCCCTTTCCGTGGAGTAACGCGTTCACCACCACACCATACAGGTTCTCTTGATTATAACTATAGCCTCAGCTTAACTGGGTTCAATGCCGATTTTGGTTCCCCAGATCAATCACGTTGACGGGTGATTGTTGATGACTGTGATCGATAGAAATAGCTGAGAGACAGGCGAAACGAAGGACCCTCATGGTGTGGTGGTGAACGCGTTACTCCTTGGAAAGGACAATAGCGCGTTTGTTCCCTACCGCATACACCTGCGGTCCGGAGTTTTGTAAATATCTCAGCATTACATACGAGTTATATCTCAGCATTATTTAAAAAAAGCTCTATCACTATATATGTACATATATACACACATATATATATGTATATATAAATTACATACATTGGCAAACAATCGTACACAGAGAAACAGAGATCGCTTAATCGCATAACAAAGTGAAATTAACTCGTATGAAGTGCTGAGATACCTGCAAAACTCCGGACCACAGGTGTATGCAGTGGAGAACGAACACGCGCTGTTGGCCTTACCGGGGAGCAGCGCGCTTCGCCACTACACCATCCGAAGTGCGCTGCTCCCCGGTAAGGCCAACAGCGCGTGTTCGTTCT